TGTTCTCGTTAAGTTTGAGGAAACAAATGAAGTAGAAGTGGTATCGACCGCCTGGTTACGCCAAAATAATAAAAAGTGCGCTTGGCCAAATTATAAAAATTCCAACCGTCTGGTCAAAGTGGTCAGCTTGCATGAACCTGTTCAAGAGTGCTGGTCACTTCATACCATCAAATTACTCGGTAGTGGTCGACAATTTGGTAAGTACCTTAAATTATTTGAGATTTTATTAGATTTTGTATTGCATGCAATGTCTCATTCTAAATTAAAATTAATTGGCAGGCTTATTTTTTCAGTTTCGTATCATGACGCTCTTTCAAAGTTGCCTAAAGTTCTGGATCAATCAGACGCAGAAATTAACAGCGATGGGGGAAGGAAGAGCAGAAAATCCAACAAAAACACAACTTACAGTGATTCATCTGACGACGAAGTAAATAATCCGGATTCTTTTACCCTGCCACCACCACCCGTCATTGCACATGGTTCAAAAGGTTTAAAATAAATTATCTTATTGGATGAAATTAATTTTCATTAAGCTTAACATTTCCATTAACTATGCAGACACTGATAAAATCAACAAGTTGATCTTTGACTCGGCAAAAAAGTATGACCCACCTCACAGCTCCCCGATCCCGTTCACTCTTGGCTTAGGTAATAATAAATTAAAAATGAACAAAACAATGCTGGTTCAACTTTTCTGTATTGCTTTATTTTGATCTATTTTAGTTGGGGTAGAAAATCTTGGCACTACAAACGAAACTATTTCTGATTCAGATTCGTCACCGGACCATGTTTTGAATGAGCTTCAGGTTCCGGCTACTACTGAATACAGAAACGATAACATTGGGGATAACCGGGATGATTCTTTTGCTGCCACCCCTTTGCAAAATTGTCATCCAGGTATAGCACATGGTTTTTATAACTCTTTTAATATGAGCTACAGACAATTCGTTGTGCATATGTACATATGTAGGTAATGAATAACTGATTTCCCATATGCAGATGTAGATAAGGACTTTCAAAACTGGGTGGCTAGAAATATTACCATTTTGAAAGCTCAGAACCGACAAATTCAGAACAGTCTTGACGGTATTCTATTACAACTTGGGGAAAGGACTGAATATAAAAATTCCCAACCAAAAAATGTTCACCACGAGTTAGCATGCAACACTTTGGATGATGTTGAAAATGGAAACAAGGTTTATTCTTCTTCAGATAGTCGGGAATCTTTAGTAAGCCGGAAATTCTAACATGTTTAATAATTATGACGTAAAACTGTTTAGTTACGCATGCACTTAAATTAGGTACAATATCTCAGCCAGAAGGGGGGAAAGAGTGTCTCTTCGTGCACTCGGAAGGTGCTATCTTGTTTGTGCACCGATGAATTGGCCTGTACCTACAAGTGGATTGGATCGCGTGGTGGCAAAGTGGGATTTAAGGAGACATGGATGAAGTCAATTATTTTGGGCAAGTCATTCACAAATTCTCCTGGATTTACTTGGAGTATAATTTTTCTGTCTATAGATTCTGTTAGGCTATATCACGCCAGGAAATCGAAGCAGGTGACAGACGACGAGGTGGAAGAAGTTATGAAGGAATGGCTAAAAACTGCGCCGAAAAGACTCAAACCGTAAGAATGATGGTTTCGAAGTATACGGAGAAATATACGGATAAATACGGATAAATGTTACCTAACCTGATTATTGATTTACAAACAGAACTGGACGACCCGATGGATGTTCCGGAAATGAGCACATTGCGGAAGATGAGGACATGTCTGGCCTAATATCGTTTTTATCATTTGGTTTTGCGATTAATCTAAACTTAAGACCGTATAAATAAAGGGAAACTGAAAAATTCTGGTGTTTTTTCATATTAACTTCACGTGTAATATACGAGTTTGTGTGCCTTTAAATCACGAATAATCATCCAAATCGACACGAGCATGACACTGAAAATATCCGAATTAAACACGTGTCATTCCATACTTTTCACCCAGATATATACGAGTTTTTTTTGAGTTTAGCCCTCTAAAAGTGGGACATCTACCATATAAATTCTCCCACTTTGACTCCTAATTCATTCGTGTTTTACACGACTTTTCGGGTTCGGATTCTCGTGTTTTTTTATGAATAAAACTCGGGTATGTGCTACTAGGGTAGATGCATATAAAAATTCAAGAAATACTCGGCCGAGCACGCAAAAAAACTCAGCCGAGTCCGAGTAGTGAGCACAAGGCCAAAATCTGCCGAGTACTCGGCAGCGCCGAGTACTCAGTGCATGTCTAGTTGTTTGCATAATTGATTAATATGCGTTTACCCATAAAACTACGGTGCACATTGTGATAAAAACGTAATTGTCACCCAGCTGAGTATGTTCTTAACGTAATTTATTTATGTATTTTTTTGTAACACAAATTTAAGAAACTTTTGTGTAAGAGATGATTTCATCTTTGAATTTGTTTCTGATTATTTTTGCGGGATTTACATTGTGCAGGGTAAGAAAGAACTACATATTTGATTATTTTCCGCCGTTCCAAAAAATATTACGGATTTCTATGCGGATTAAGGAATTTCGAAGTAGATGGCTCTGATTATTTTACGTACTGTTCGTTTTAAAAAATGAATACCAATATCTTTAAATTGTTCTAAATATTTTTCTTGCAATTCAACCAAGTCACAAGTTGCCCCGAATTATTTTGCCTCTATTTTTCTCAATTTAGTAAATATCTTGTTTAAACTTTTTCATAATTCCTTTCCGACTCAAGGTTGCAACATAATTACTCAGGTGGACATAGAAGCACCCAAATACGTACAGGTAAATTATGCAGGATTATCTCTGAAAAATATTCTGAACTCAAATCTTGCATGATAAATACGAATCATTATTACACTCTTAAAAATAACATTACCTTTTCGAGCATTAAATTCACACTGCATAATAAATAAACTATACTAAATCCAGAAATCTACTTTACTCTTTATTAAATTAATTCCACTCGGATTTTCTATATAGATTAATTATTATTGATTTCAAACTGCATTTATCTCCTGGTCCGAAATGTAACATAATTTTTAAGAGTGTAAATAAATAAGTAGGGAAATTTAAATGAATTTGCTACCTGAATTTTAGGCGTTTTTCCCTGGCCAACAAGGAATCCTAACTGGTTGTATTCACTCCTTTATAGTGGTTGGGTGATTAAGGATATTTACATATTTATAAATACAAGTATGAATTGGTGAACTGCACGTTAACTTTTGTAAGCTTACATAAATTAACCTGTTGCTCATCAAATTTTTCGAATTTATCCATAGGGAGACCCGAAAACGTGCGATACTTCAAATCTTGTCACGTCTTGGGTACCTCAAATTTATATTGATGCCTAGTATTCAGGACGGATTTTTCGCTCGAATCGGCTCGTTCTTTGCTTTATACAAAGTTCCTCATTCAATGGGGTTGCTTGCATTTCGCTGCTAAATGTGCCAAATAGGAGTGTTTCTTTAAATCAATTGTAAAATATTACTGAAGTATCTTTTCTCGTAAAGTTTTTCACGTAAAAAATCCTTCCTGAGTAATAAGATTTACTTAAAATCTCTCTTCTATTCTTAATTTTTATACTCGTCTAGGCTCCATCGTGCCAAGCTGCCGTGCAACATGCCGACTTCTCGAGGAAGGCGAGTCCCTAAGTTTGACCTATTTACTGTTAGAAATTTAGTATCAAAATATTACCAAACGGTACTTATCTTCAGATACACACGACAATTCCAAACCTGCAGAAAAAAGTATCGTCAAATATGCACTAAATAATAGTTCTGTATTAAAGTTTGGCCATATCGGCGGCAAGTTGCTTTTACAGACGGGACAAATTTCAATCCTAACAATTCTCATGTCAGACATGTTTCTCACCGATTTTCTTAAAACGTGGGCTAAAAATTACTAAAAAATTAAGTAACCAAACACAAACGCACAAACTGTACAAACTGTAAAAGTCATGACTTTGCCAAATTTCTGACAATGTGCATATATTAAACGGTAGCAAACAATATGAGACAATAGGGTGAAACAAGTAATTTCCTAATAAAATATGTTCCACATCCCCTCACCTCAAAGGGGGGGAGTAACCCCAAAAGTTGATAGCATCCTCCCTCTTAAGTCTGATGTCGTAAACCAATCTCGATTACCTCGGTCCGTTCTATACTTAGTCTGCTGAAAGACGGACAGACTAAGAGACAAAGCTTTCCCTCAATAATTATTATTAACCCGAAACAATTTTAATTTTACAGATTAAAGGGCATAACCTCATGAAATATAAAACCATGATTGAGAATGCAATATATTCCAATGATGGAGATGCAGATGTAAGATTTAGTTAAGGAACGCCCATAAATTACGTCATTAAGAAGACCCGATTATTCTTAAACCTTTCCCTACCATGGTCATGTTAAGCTTAAGGGGTGGTCCATAAATTATGTCACGGTGAGCATGGGGGGGAGGGGTCCCAAGAATCCGTGACAAAGTGTGACATTTGGGGAGGGGGGTGCAGCCGATTCGTGCGGCGGGAGAAAGTCGCGCCACCTGCTGGTGGGTGTAGATCTATCTCTCGCTATCTGGAGAAAATGAGTGACGCAATCCAATAACTGGACCAAATCCCACCTGCATTATTCAGTATAATGCAATGCAAATTGCGTTGCATTATGCAATCTTTTCATACGCAAATGGGTGGAGCGGCGGAGGTGCCCCCGGAGAGTGGTTGCTCTCTCCCGGGGAAAGTGACGCAATCCACCCGGTTGCCGTCGGAAAACTGGCCCCAGGAAACGCAAGCAAAATACGTTAAAAAGTGCATCAACATTTAATTGGACTACTTTTTAATGAACTGTTAACTATTCACTAACAACGACATCTTTGAAATAACGACATACATAGACACGATCAAATTACCAAGATTGTATCTGTAATAATTTTAACTGCCACCTATTCATTAGATATGCCAAAATCCATATGCATTTCATTTCATTACCGGCTTTATTCATTTGTTAAAATATATCATAGTTTTCACAAACTGGTTTGAAATCCATGGCACAATTAACTTGAGAACTAAAATATTTTAATTGCTATAAATTTAAATTTTTAAGAGACACTAATTATAAATTAATTACTAATTAAAATATGTCGTTTGGTAATTTCGAATTTCAAAACTTATAAGAGTAGAAAACAGGATGATATGTTTACTGGGGAAAATTTACAAAGACTTGGAAATGCGCACAAATCTCCACACGTCCAGAAGCTACGTCTGAAATTGTCGCCCTAATGGGTAGTGTACTTCCGGCCAAAACATCATTTGGAACAATGGTGAATCTGATAGTGTACGTTTGTCCTGGCTGGACGGATGAGTCGTCCAGGTTCGTATCGATAATAGTTACTTCTCCAGTGAAATAAGTAGTCGTGACCTTGAGGTGCAGTTGGCTTGAGGCGGAGCTCGGGATCAGGTCTCCTTCAGTTATGTATAGAGTGCCCGGGTTCTAACGAATTGGTCAAATTAAAGTTAAAGTCAGGCTGCATAAACATTTTGTTGTCCGTAGTTTCTCCTAAGGTGGTGATGCAAGCATGCATTTTTTCAAAAAAAGTAAAAGTTCAAGAATTACATGAAATTTTTCCACGAATCTGACTAGTTACCATGACAAAATTGCATTTCATTCCCGTACTTTTAATTTAAAAAATCATCCTTGCATCACTCCCTTAGGAGAAACCACGGACAACAAAAATATTTATGCTAGTTAAAGTACAAGTTTTAAAGCTTTTTGTTTGTTATTTTCAAGTGCCTTCAAAACTTGCTAGTGTTTAAATTTTTAAAAAAATCCGAAAAGGTGCATAATTAATGGACGGTCCTTTCCCTTCAACTCTTACCAGCCTGCAAGTTGATCCCTCGCAATTTTCTACTCTTAGTTCAGTAAGTGTGCCTCCGCATCTCTGGAAAGTAACGACGCCCCCCAACGCAGATCTCATCATGGATAGCAGGACAATTGCCAAGAGCTTCATGATTGCTGCAAATTTTTTAAATTAGTTTCTCTAATTAAGCAAACTATAGGAGCCTCTGCATGCGACTGCTGTAATACAGATTCAACACCTTACTTTTATACCTGTCCTTACACTGCTGGAGAGAGTGATCATGAAAATTGTATCCCTAGGCATGCAGACTTACATACATAACACTCCTAATATAAAACCAAACTGATAATTAGTAACTTGATAAGAATTAAATTGCGATTCAACTCACGAATATTTGATCTAAATAAGTATGTATATCCAGTATACATACATATGAGTAGATAGGTAAAGCCACGCAGTTTGTAAATGCAGTTTGTAAATGATTAATTCTGACGTTTCAATTGATTCAAGTGCCACAACATCATAATGATGCCATCATTAAGCAGAATGCGTGAATTTAATATTCCCCCGATTGATGGTTGAGTTGATAAAGAATTATCAAATTTCCACACGGCTTTGCACCAATAAAATATTGCAAAGGCAGTGTGCATCAAGTGTTGAAATACTTATCATTCCCACACGACGTGCCAAGCAAGTGCCAAATGAGGAGGTACACGATTCATGATGCTAGATCATGATTCCATTTCCATTGTGCAATTGCACCGAGTACAAATTATAATTATAAACGAAACTCGAAAAAAGGATTGCTTTGGTGAGACTAGAAGTGCGATTGAAATTTGGAAATAAACCACCGTCCCCACTATCAGAGAAAGTATTTGTATTCCTAACATCACCGCCCTAGGAATAATTCCTTAGGCTTCGTAATCATAGAAATTTAATTGCAATGGCATGAAGAAATATATTTTACTCAATTTTTTGGTAATGATTATCAAATGGTGAGAAACGGACAGGAATACTAAGCAAGCTGGGAAATTTTCCAAATTTGATTGTTTTTATATTTATTCATCTAATTAGATTCTTGTAAATTAGAATTTGCACTAAAAAATTAATCCCATGGTTGCAATGTGAGGAATACGAATACTTTCCCTGATGGTGGAGGCGACGATTTATTTTCATCTTTTAATCTCACTTCTTGACTCACCTAAACAATCCTTTTCTGGGTTTAGTATTTGTAACTAGTAGAAGCCCCACCTAAGAAAAATAAGAATAAACTTTCATCCTGATGAATGACTGAAGAATGATAATTTTTACAGATAATATATAATAACCACCTAAAACTACCTGGTATAAATACGGCATCGTACGTATCATAAATTTCATACTATATCATAAATAAAAAGAAAAAACTCGCCGTGACTAAATATCACAAAAATGAAGCCTGTTGCAATTGCTGTCGTTCTTGCCTTAGCCCTTGGCTTTGTGGAACCCCATGGCTACCTGATGGAACCTTTGGCCAGAACCTCCATACATTTGGACCCCAATCTCCCCTACAACCCACCTTATTGGTATGACAACAAGTAAGTAAACCAGTGACAAATTATGCTATCTGAAATAAATTACATCAGTCCGATTGATTTTTCGCTGTATTTGCATAACTGAGTTAGAATAGTACTCACCATATTTTTTTGTTAATTAATAAATTTATCTTTCAGAGGAGTCTGGTGCAATAATGTTCATCAGGATCTCCAATATAGTCAGTGTGGAAGGTGAGCAACCATTTATCGAATATTTGTTCCAAAATACGTAGCTACATGTTATGAAGTTTTATAATCTGGTAAAAACACCGTCATAGCAAAACTTAGCGTTTTTGTTTTAATCAAGGTGTGGAGAGGCCGCTGGTAACTACGACGCTTCCCAAGGTGGTATTTACGACAAAGGCGCTCTTACCGGGAATTATACTTCCGGATCTGTAAGTAGTAACGTCACCTTATAACAAGTGGCTAGCGAAAGCCAGTGAAAATTCAAATCATACCATATAATTATAAGTTCACCCAACATATTTTTTTTTTAGATAATTGAAGTCAAAGCCGGCCTTGATAACGCCCATTTTGGTAAGAACATTTTGTTCTAGCGCTATTAAAATAAGGTTTCCTCAAATTAGACTGCCGAGCATATTATAAAACTTTAAATATTTACACCTTGTGTTATAAAGACCTAACGAACCATGAATCAATTGAAAAAAACAGATGTGTAATGAGATAAATCCTGTAAAAAAATTGTTGGAAAACCACTAGATAGAGTTCATAAATTAGACGTTGTCGTCCCTGCTAAAAACTAAAGGTATTCACTGATTTGTAGAATGGTTTAATTAGTTCGCAACCCGTTAAGTCTATAACTGCATAGTAATTTTGTTTTTTGCGTCATTATGTTCCTTCATCCTTTCTTTCAAGAGTCTGAACCTTTGTTTCCAATTTTCAAACCCATTTTGACCCGTTTTTGGGAGGGCATGATCACTTTCTGTAGTTACAAGTGTTACCCGTGTCTTTGTCATTCCACAAAATCCGTGAACACCTTTTGTATGTAAATGCACATGCTAATGTTTAGCAATTTATTTCTCTTGTATTTAGGTCACTTCCAAATGGAGCTTTGTGCCCAGGAGCAAGAGACCGATAACTGCTTCAGCCTACTTCCAGTTGTTTCTGCCTCGCAGCCGTTGAGAGGAGAAAACCTAGTCTGCATCCCGTTCGACAATCCTGCCCCACCTAACGACATTGTCACCGTCCGCCTCCAGCTCCCAGCGGGAGTTAGGTGTAGTAGGTGCACCCTCCGGTGGACTTACAGGTATGAACACCCTTAAATAAATCCAAAAATTACATCAAAAAATGATTACATGACGCTCAAAATTGTTAGACTGCAGTATTAATTAGCGCATAGCGTAAACTATATGAATGAGGCCATTTGGACCTAAATTGATCCGTGTAGCAGACAGAATTTTTTTAATTCTAAAAGGCTAATCACATATTTTTTTTTCAGGACTTCATATCCTAATGGAGCACCAGGTAATTCATGAAATAAATTAAGCAACAAACCATTCTAAACGTCATTCTAACTGATGGACTTCCCATCAATTTACAAGAATTCAAACGTCGTTAGTTTCTAAGTGAGAGTTCATCTTTAGATAATTTTCCATTTTTTTCCAGACTGGGACGATTGCTACACTTCAGCTCCAGCCCAAACCTTCCGAAACTGTGCGGATATCAGCATCAATTAAAGACAGACGGTAAAAGCGAACAAAAATTATTGTATCCCTGATACAATTTGTACACAATGCGTAAACAATTTGATCCAATATTTAAATAAAAAGCAAGATAAATATGTGATTGCAGATATATATGTAATTATTTCGATTTTGGAAAGCACCTAACATTTAACTGGATATGAAATAATCAAAAGTTTGTCGAGCAGTGTAGCGTATGTATTGGCTACATTCTCGATCCTTAGTTGTTGCTACGTATTCAACAAAATGCGTAGGCAGCGACGTAGCTAGTGTGACCTACCGGCCGCCACGAAGCAGCGGCCCTGAAGGGCCGGCTATTTTTTGCGTAGTTTTGATGACCTTATTCTCATCCACCATCTCAGGAATAATTTTGTGTCCCATTTTCTACAAGAATCAGACGCAGATTATGCACCGGATCGCAAGATTACGACGCCGGGGAGAAGTGGAATCAAGGAATTCTGTCGCCGATGATTTACAAAGGGTCACCATCGTTCGGTCCTAAATAACCCACGATACATAAATGATTCGCGCTCATCATCGTATTATTCCTCTGCCGCATACTCTCCCCATAATTTGATGACAATGCAGTAGTTTCGTGTGAAAACATGATTCTAGGGAGCCGTCGGAAAATCTACCACACACCGCATGCGTAATACTTAAAACAGTGGATCGAGAGTCTATGTGGTCACTTTTTAACAAACCTTTAACTACTTGTATGCCATGTCCATATAGTGCTTGTTCAGAAATAAATAAATACTTTCAGGAATTACGGTATGGAATTTTTTTACTGTTCACAAATTTGACCATAATTCCCATCCTACCAATATTTTCAAGCCTGATTCCTAACTTTGTTCTTAGTAAGGTTGCAGCGTGACTAAAACCGAGCTGGAACTATTCGAGTCATACGCAGTTAGTCGTATTTGATGATTGTACAAATTCTGCTTCGGAACACTGTTCGGAATTCGCAATGATAGACGGAATCTGCAAAATATGTACAATTTTAAATACAGTTCGACTTTTGAGTCTTATGTGTGTCAATTTACCCCATAAAGCCAAATTCCCAGATTGGCGTTTTGTCCACTGCAATAGGAAGGGAACTCGTTATTGCGACATCTTGCACACAGTTTTCTCCAATATCGTCATCCGTGACGGATATTGTTGTGTCAATTACGAGGAAACACCCGTCATCGGTCTGCTTGTAGGGGAACGTATTTCTTGCAAACGTGGGCTGAAAAAGGTTAAAATAAATATGTTTTCAGGTAAAAATAACAAGAAATACGGTAATGAGTAACACGATATTTTATATGAAATATTGAGGAGGGTACTCACTCCCACGTTTTATTTAGAGCAAATCTTATATGAACCCGATCACTAGGGAGTTTAATAGCTGTGTCGTCAAAAATAGGTTTAGAAATCTAAAATTCGTGCAGACTATGCTAAATATATCTGACTATTCATCCTAAAAATTTCATAAAGTTCCAATGAAAAACAAATTTCCTATGCTACTTCAAAGTAAAGAACTTGGGAAAGGAGTTTTTGTAAGTACCAAAATTTGAGTGACAACGACTCGAAGAAGACTTGACTGCACTTCAAAGGAGAAGGGAGTGGGCGTGCAAAAATTAAGACATACATAAAAAAGTATGTAGAATCCGAAAATGTCAACCTCAAATACGCACCATGAGAAAAAACCATCATAATGACCCCTGGAAAGTTAAAAACGATGTAATTTACTTTTGGAAAATATCGCTCGACGTCCGTGCCTAATGCAGCCACGAAGTCAAAGATAAATTCAAACTACTTGTATCATATTAAAGCCCATAAATTGTGGGTCAAAGTATATGCAAAAAAATCTGCACCAATATATACGGAAGGTCAAGAAAAATGGTAAACGCAAGACCTCCCAAGCCGTATCACAAAATTTCACCAAAAAATATGGTCTTTAGCGATGAGTCGTACGTCCTTAAAAACAGGAGAAAAACTCCGGGAAGGCAATTTTTGATGGTAAATATATCTCTTAACTGAAAACCGAAGAGAAATTAAAATGTTTTTAGACATTACTCAAAAAATCTAAGCTTTGGCAGGCGTTGAATGAATTTTTGCATGTTTCAGACCCCTAAGTTCAAAACGACCGTGAGGACGCACAGGTTGATTTTCAGAAAAATGTTATATGCCCTCAGATTCCGTTCATCATGGAGTACAAAAAAATATAAAATGTAATTTTTTGGTCCGACCCTGGACCAATCCACAGTGCAAGAACTATCATGGAAAAAATCGAGAAAAAAATCATTTTGATGCTGAACAATGAAAATCCCACATATATCCATTATCTTCGCTCAATTAAAAAAATTTGGGCTATATGTAAGAAGGCATACCCCCAGCTTTGTGAAACAGTCGATACTTAAAGAAAATTTTGGTTACGTAGGGAGAAAATTAACAATGAAGTTGCAAAGTCTTCCGGAAAAGCATTAATGACGGGCGCGGCGAAAAAGACTAAATGCGAAGTGGGTAATGTATTAAGGTCTCGTTTCTTCGCGGATCCCTAATGTCAGTAGTGTTTACAATATCTTACAAAAACTTAAGATTTCAAAAAATCATTTTTGACCATTTTGAGGCCGAATTTCCTAGTGATCGGGTTCATATAAGATTTGCTCTAGCATCGCAACTCACTTACAAAACGGCTGCTTAATACTTGAGTGAAATTTGGTATGTCGAAATATGTGCCTTCATACATATTTCTAAATTTGTACAGTGGCGAGCAAATTAAATTGTACATTAGAAAATCTCGCACATTGACGAAGATAAGGACTTGGAGATTTGCAACATAGTACCCCACAAAATTGTCGTTCTCTGCCTTTCTTGTTTTTGAAAAATTTCAAACAAGTCAAATGTCACAATTTTTGACTCAAAAGCTCGTTTTTCAGCTCTTGTAGTGATTTTTTCCCTTTGAGTCTTTATTTTTTAATCGATAGCTCAACTCAATGTGAACATTTTGATATCTTATTCAATTCTCTAAGATTATTTTGAAGAAAGTTATGAATTAAAAAAACGGATTTTGAAAAGTTTAACATTGCGCATTTAGCAGAATTTGAAAAAATCCGCAAAATTCGTATTTAAAAAAACGTTCACCATTATTTGTGTGCGTTGTAAAAATAGTTATGCCATCCGGTTGAAACGTATTGTTTCTATAGAATGGGTTTTTTCAAAATGTTTACGATATCGAAATAACTTACGTTGTGGTTATTCGTATCGGTGATACCGATAGCAAAGTTGAACATGGTCACAGTTCCGTTCGTGAAGGTAATATCCATCGTTCTTTCCAACCAGTCGGTTCTTTGGGTTGCGATAAAGGTGTTGAAGAGACTGGTAGTGTGGAAAATAAGTGTGCCATAGTCGTCGATAGTTTCGATGTAGACATCGTGTCCACCAGCAATCAGTTTTTGGGCATCCAAAACCATTCCAGGCAGTTTCACACTTCTAAAAATGCAAGAACGGTTTCTTAACTTTGCAAACTTACAGTTATAAATCAGTGTTGAACACATAGCTACTCAAGAATGTAGTTAAACTTCAACTGCATTTCAAAATACCAGTACTGTGGACAATAATATGTTGGTCGGAGGAAGACAAGCGTGCAAAAATTGAAGAAGAGCCGGCCCAGAAATAGAACCTGGGACCTCTTGATTATCGGTCGATCGGCTTCACCGAGCTAACAAATGCTCTCCATATCTATGCCACTTTTTCCAACCAAAATATCCACCGCTTATGATAAATACATATTCTCTCACAGTACTTATTAGTCGAGTTTTAACTACTAGCTAGAATTACTTTTAACTCCTTTTCAACTACTTTTGGTATCTTTGAAGTTTAAATATAACATTCCTTCCAAACAAAAAATCTGTACTAACAATGCGATGACACCAGCGGTCTCGCTCCAATTTTGATGAAACTTCGATAATTATGTAGCCTTACTAGGTAAAAAAAATTAAACACATGTTTCGGGATTCTTCATAATGCTCAGTTTAAACAAAGTTATGATGGTATAAGTGGCCGAAAATTCGCATTTTTCTCCCTCAAAAACAAAAACAGTGCAACTTCATTAGACAAATGCGAATTTTCAGCCTTTTATACCATCGTACTGAGCATTATGAAAAATCCCAAAACATGTGTTCAATTATTTCCTAAGGCTATATAATTATCGAAGTTTCATCAAAATCGGAGCAAGACCGCTGGCATCATCGCATTGTTAGTGGATTCATGATTTCTTGATTGGGTAAAACAGTTTACGACGCAAAGCATCAGAAAACAAGTTTAGTAAAAAATGGTGTACTTAGGAGGACAACCCTTCACCGACAGAATCACCGATCTTGATGCCCTTTGGATATGTTGTAGTCCTAGGTGAGTCTAGCAAAAGTGAAGAAGGATTTTATTCCATGGCCCCATTTGCGCCGGCCACACCCACTCAAAGGTGCCAAAAAGACGAAAAATACCCTGTTTTGGATCATTCAAAAAATCACCAAAAATCCAATTTTGATCGGATTTTCATAATTTAAGCATTTTTGCGATCTTAGATAGCTGCTTAGGGTATTTTTCGTGTTTTTGGCACTTTTGAGTGGGTGTGGCCGGCGCAAATGGGGCCATGGAATGAAATCCTTCTTCACTTTTGCTAGACTCACCTAGGACTACAACATATCCAAAGGGCATCAAGATCGGTGATTCTGTCGGTGAAGGGTTGTCCTCCTTAGTATCGAGACTTTTGATAAATCCTTCCAGCACTTGCAAAATCAATCGTACGTTCAAAACGTTATTTTAGGAAACGGTTAGGAATACAAACGCTATAAAAGAATCGTGAATCCCATTATTATTATTTATTACCGCAAAGTAACTACAAAAACATTTCCATTTTGTTCTTTTATCTTACTAACCCTAGAGTTGCTCCGGTTGGTTGGAGTTCTTCAACTTGGGCGACAAATATTTTAACGGGTCGAGGTGCTATGACGTACTCTGTTGCGAAAAACGGTAACTATTTTTTAAATGTTCACGCAAAATTTTAGAATTAAGACAAAAATGATAAGTTACTTACGTCACGCTGACGGGCCTAACACGACAAAAATGACTATTCCCAAGACGATAAATACCTTCATGATGGTCAGCTTCTCACTTGTCGGAGGGTTGGCAGAAATAGAGTAATACATTTATGCGAGTGCCGGCCGTGTATTTATACTAATCCTAAGTTTTATGACAGTCAGGTCGCGGTGAATTATAGCATCAAATCAAATTTTATGACACGGTAGGATAAAATTCGTAGATGTGGTTTCTACCTACAAATTGGATTGCAAGCATAATACTAACAATGCGATGGTGTAAAGTGTAATGCTCCGATTTGGTTGAAATTTTGAAATTAAGTGGTCCAAGTCAATGCAACCAACGTTTTTTAAGGCAGTTGTGCGATGATCAGGATTTGTCAAAATATTTGAGATCAAAGTTGCAAAACGGGAGATTTTTACCAGGCGGAGGAAGCAAACCCAAGTTCCATTCCCTTCCCGTGCTAAAAATTGCATGTTTTTCAACTTTGACCTCAAATATTTTGGCCATCGCACAACTGCCTCAAAAAACTTTGGTTGTATTGACTTGGACGACTTAATTTCGAAATTTCAACCAAATCGGAGGGTTACACTTTACACCATCACATTGTTAGTGAACTACTTCCCGGTTAAACCTTTCATGATTTTATTATCGTACGCATGCTTAAGTTTTTTAACGCATTTGATTCTGTGATATATAGAGCACTATCTGTTGAACAAATAGGTGAACCCATATTTAATGCATTGAAATTATGTTTGTTATTTATTAGTATTGCTTACATATACTAAAGTTGTAAACACGAAGGTCGAAGTCATAGTTTATGTATGGCACTTTTATTCTGCCCATAAATTTTTGATCAAGCTGGAATTTGAGCTTTTAATTGGTACGTTTTCTCGGTAAAGATTAAGGAATATTTTCACTGTTGTAATGTGTAGGACAAAATCCCGCAGGCCTTTTAATTACGTGCTGACGTATTTAGTTGATTTGATAAGCATACAGTGCACTCTTAGAAATGTGTCTAACTTAGCGCTGAGTTACTTGCCTGCATACACTGTACGGGGTATTGATAAATCTACACAGGGTAAAGTGACCAACCCTTCACCGAGTTTGCCCAAACTTTACTCTGTTTAGGCCACTTTACTTGCGTTTACCCCAGAAAGAGTTGGCAATGCATATCTTACCCGTGGCAGAGTTATCGAGTTGGGCGGGGAGATTGGCTGAAGCCACAAAGTAGCTCAGTTCCCACTCAACCGCCTTCCGCATACGCTGCGAGTGTAATTTTGGCAGTGGAATTTTATTTATTTTCTGACCCCCGTTTAATTCTAACCACCCCCACTTGAAAATTGCAACACAAGTAGTGCAAGGACTTCTACAGCAATTTGGATTACAGGAATACGTAAAAAATTGAGGGTAAATAAATAATTAAGAAATTCTTTCAAATCATACAATAAATTGTATTCTCATGATTCGAATTTTCCGTCTTATTTTCAGATCACCATATTGCAGATGACGAATTACTAGAGCCATCGAAAGGGGGGGGGATGAAAATTTAAAATTGATAATTAATTAATAAAATCTTGTATTGAAATTATGTAAGGACAATTAAGTAGATTTCAAATTATTTGCATATACCGCTCTCACAGAAAGAACCCGGTACCGAGTAAGCAGTACCCCTATGAGGGTTACCAATGCGCAGTGCCCTGGCTGGAAGCGTTACTCCGCTGGGAGTAACGCTGTATTCAACCGGAGTAAAATGCGTAACTCTTTTGCTTTTAAGCTCCCACGTACACCATAGAGAGTGCATACACTATTAACTCTGGCATGGATAGAATTTTACCCCGTGTGGGGTTATTTATTCTTACAGTGTGATTATGTATTTATTATTTCTAAGTATTGTTTGCACTTAAATTACATATAAACACGTATTGTAGGGCGAGTAAGACAGATACACTTGCAAATTTATCCAAATATTCTCAAAAAATTGCCACAGAGCAGTATGTATGCAAATGATTGTCAACCTCAACTAAGTATGACACATTTTAAAATAATATGAAACTGTGAAAAAGGAGAAACAAATTGCCTAAACTTTATTAACATAATCGGAATTTAGTAAATTATTTAAATAACGATATTAAATACAAAATAACGTTTATTACGACAATTTTCCCATAAAACATAAACTATTAGGATTTTAGAAATATATTTTTTGATTAATTTTTTTTATAGACACATTATTAGCTCACCCTGCGTAGCATGAGAGCTATTGAATTCCTCCTGTCCGTCCGTCTGTCTGTCCGTCTGTCTGTTAACGACCTTTTTGCATCAATTGATGCTAATTAAAATGTCCCTGCTCCATTTTTTCATAAATTTATCATAAATTTATTTGGTATCTGACAATCGGAAAACCCAAATGATGCGAAATAATTGGGGGAAGCGATGTAAAACGCATCAATAGTGCAGAATATCCGGAAAAGATAATCCTACAATTTTGACGTCACCGATTTCAAGTGTGTGTGCAAACCATAAAGGACCGAATTTATTTCGGCAACTTTTGATGATTTTATTTAACATTAGGCATTTATTTATGCAGATTAGTAAAAATTATCTGCAGTTCATTACAATAATATTAAGTTATTGATTCATACATTTTGATAGTTTAGCAAGGTCCAAGTGTCCAAGTGGTTTTCACTGATCTTGACCGGACTTAGTTTTTAATTGTTCATGCTCAGAAATAAGCAGACCCGTATTTTTTCGTTTTCTAAAATGGACATGTTTTCGCCCGTGGTGGAATTTAAAAAATCCGCCAAAGTCAGGATTTTTAAAACGCTGTAACCTTTCGAATTTTAATCCGATTTCAAAAATTAAACACAATTTTTGCTCAGAATTACTACCCTGAAAATATAAAACCTACAGTGCAGACTTGATATAGCCCGAGTCAGGCCAAGTTGTGCTTATTACTCAATCAGACTTTTTCAAGGCCTGACAGGAGCAGGTTAATTGAATGGGTGATCTAAAATTGCATGCGAACGAGCCACCATACCGACAGTCCTCAAACTAAACCACAACTAAACAGACTAAAATGACGATTTACTTCTTGTATGATGGCTCTCATGTTGGGGAAAAACAAGCAGATCGGAGTGGGGTCCATCCAACCACAATGTGTATCTAAGTTGGTTTATTGACCGTGGTCAGAAACATTAGTTAAGAATTACTTAAAAATTATTTCGAAAATATTTGTCATGAAGAAATAATGAGAATTTGAAGGTTATCGTAATTTGGTAACAAGTTTGGTAACATGCTACCTGTACCTGACGTTGAAACTGAGTCTCAACAACCTCACAGAATTTTATACATAAAATACATGCCTTGTATGTGTT